AAGGACCTGTTGCCGTTGAACCACGCACAAAACTGACTGCCGTTACTAAGATTGAGAAACTACTTTTATATCTCACGCTATTCATCTTTCATCGTTAGACTGCAGATTTTACACATTTGCAAGAACAGCGAATGGGAAATTATTCACAATATTAAGGACTGAATGTGCATTTTCACTATGTGATTATAGAAATATATTATATCACATAAAAATCTTTAATCTGTTCATCGTACGGAACGAACGTCGAGAGATTCGATAAAATCTGTGACTTCTGTGTTTCGACGAATAATTTCTGTCGTATCGCGACGACTTTCTTCTCCATTGTGGCAGAGGCGAAACGAATTCATCGCAAGAGAGCACGCTTCCGTGAAATTCAACGCTGTGTCGTGACACTCGACCACCAACGCAGTTTATGTCGCAGTGGAATACTAATTGCGGTAATTTAGAACGGTGGATGTTACTAATTAGAAATTAAGATAGCCTGTGTTTTACAATTACTCCGTAACATGCCTGTCGGAATGAACAATTGACCGCAAACGTTGTTTCAACTTTCTCTCGGCACCGTTTCATTCTATTCCAACGAATTGTTAGGAACGTATCAAGTTTTCACCTAATTTTTATTTCAACCAAGTGACAGCCAAACGAAACGCATGATAATAAACCGTAGATATATATAGATAATAAATAGCATAATTAATTGTTTGTTCAATAACTGTTACTAATTGCCTTGAATTACGCAAACCATTACCGCTGTTCCTATCAATTAGGAAATTCAATATTAGTGATTATTAATACGTACACGAATTGCCTCGTAATTAGCCGACTAATGCCATTAGCGTCTAGCTACGGCGCGTCCTCAATGGCTACCTTGTAACAGAATAAAATTCACGGGATTTAAATAAATGCGCGTGCACACATATACGATGCAATGTTACGTAACGTCCGTACATTAAAGATACACTCGAGAGAAACTCATTAGTTTCATCATTCCAGGCGGTGATGTATGTAAGCGCCTCGTACACCCGTATGTAAAGATATATACATATTATACAGAATACAGGGTGTCGCAAAAATCGCGCTGATTCTATGTGCAAAAACAAGTCAAGGAACGATAATAACATATTTTTAATTAATCCTTTAATTTCCTTTGAACTCTAAATATCATTTCTGAGATAAAAATTTTTCTTTGCATTATAGTAGCGTTTTATCATTCTTGACGTAGTATAACAAAATGATTTTACTCTTCCATATATAATATTAAAAATACGTACTGAGAACATCGCCAATTTTGACAATTTCTATTCTAATACACATTAATATTATAACTAATAAATGCTCATTCTCGAAACTGTTTAGAATGGTGTTACAAACAGGATTGTCTTATTAGAATCATTAGAAACTTGTTGGCTAACCGAACAGAATCCAGTCAGTTGTGCTACGATTTTTGGGACAGCCTGTATACGTGGATCGTCGCTCTTCTAATTGCATATACAACGGGCCTCGTTCAAATCAAGTTTCTGTCGAGCACGGCTTTCTATCCTCGGGCATCATTGCTCGAGTCGTTTGGATAAACGAATCGTAACCCCTCGGAGCGTGGTTTTAGCGACTCGTTATCGACGCGAGTATCGATTATGTTTTTGCTCGTTGAATACCAGTTGGATCGAGCCGGGCTCCGCCGAAGAGCTTCTTACTGCCAAGTGAAATTCTAACGAGACGTAGTTTCATGCATGGTTTTATAGGTATATTGCACGTGGTACTGCGCCGCTTTGTGAATAGACGATCGAATGAAAAAAGTAGGCCGAATTGATCAGCAAATTATAGAATAAACGAACAACAGTAGGACGAGCTAAGTACTTCTCGTTTCGGTTCGTCTCAATAATAAATAAGCGATAAACAACGAGTTAAATGAACCCGTCGCTTTCGGTTCTGTTGTAATTCCAGCAAATAAACAAGCTTATCTGAGATACAAGTAACCAACATGTGTATCTCGTTAGATACATATATTCGATGTCCCGGCGAGTTACATAGTGTATCGGCACGTTACACTTTACATGCATGCATACATGCATGCATGCATGTATGTACGTATATTACATATGTAGCGTCGGGAAGTTAAAGATTAAGCTTCGTTGAAAGCCTGCTCGCATAGCGTATGTTGGTAAAATTATTTATCGAGAGATACACAAAGAATTCGCCGATCATGCCCGAAGAAATCGGACAGTCTTATGAGCGCAAAAAATATAAGGAGAATGTTCGTCGAACCTTTCAGATCTATCTTTTTGTGCACGGTATTAAGAATATATATTTTTTCTTTTTATTTAGCCCCACGCATGCATTTACATATTTTTACTTTACCTATTTTCCTACCCTTTCTCGAAAGAGGTGATTGAAATATTAGTTTACCCAGTTCTAAGTTCAATAAAAAGAAACAAATAATCTCGTCAGTCTACATAACTATAGAACACAATGACACACAGGTATAAATAGTATAGAGAGAATCGAAGAATCTTCGAGATCAATTCATATGCTTTTGGAACTTGCGATCGCTTGGCGATCGAGGAAAAAATGTAAAAGAAAGAAACAAGAGCGATATGAGTAGAGACTAAGGGAGGCAGGGTAGAGCCTGTCGGGAAATAATTAATATGCCATGGACGCATAACGAACGACCGCGAGCCAGTCTGTTTGTTTTCAGACGGGTCTTCTTCAGTTCCAGGCATGTCGACCGTATCTCTCTTTTGCCCGGGCCTTCTCGACCTCCTGCTGCTTCCCCTTTTCCTTTTTTATTTTAAACGCACACAAGGCCCTTCTCTCCAGTCTCCTTCTGTCCTCCCCTTCTCTCTCTCTCTCTCTTCTCGACGGAGTACCATTTTCTCTAATTTCTCCCTTAGCTTTTTACCTTCAGGGGGAAGAACACCTTTGAGAGAAATTTCAAGCCAGTATAACTAGTTATTCAATGATATCCAGTAAAATATTAGCATCTTATCGAAATTGAACATATACTCGAGAGTACATTGCTTGTTTTAGAAAATTAATTCATGCTACTTTAAATGCTGTTCGAGATTAGTACAGTTTCTTATTTTAGTTGAACGTTTTATAGAAAAATATTCACGCAGTCACAGGGAATATAAATTTTCTTTATAAATTAGCTGGATTGAACGAGCTATACTGATTGCGAATCGCACGTAATGAGAAACTGCATACCATATGTACGTATTTTCTCTATTTTAATTCGTCTTTTGTGACTCGGCTATTTTAGCGTCTTTTTTCGATGAGCCGATCCCCGTACACAGTAGGAAACAGAATGATGAACGATGAAGAAGGAGAGGACGAAAGGGCGATTGATGAAAGAGAAAGAAGATGAGACAAAGAAAGACTACCGCTGTAGGCTTATTAGCAAGAAGTTAGGGAGAGAAGAATGCAAAAAGTCGTGTCCTGGGCAAGATTGCCATTTATAAAATCATTAAACTAGGATAAAGAGCATTAAAATTCTGTATTTTTCCAGTTGAAATCCGAACATATCTAATTCGAAAATAAATCGAATGTCATCTGATTGTTATGAAACATTTACGAACAACACAACAAAGTCTATAATTAATTACTGCAGATTTCTATGCGTTTATACTTAAGAGATTCTGCACGTGTTATGAAAAACCTACAAAATATTAGAAGCGACAAGAATATATTCCCTAAAACCTTACTTGAAATATTTAATTTTGCACAAAATTCCACAGCCTATTACTTGAAAACGGTGCACATTCCAACGGCTGTCCAGCACAGCTTGCACGATAAAATAAATTATTCCGGCGAGCAAGGGGAACTTGAAGGGGGAGGCTGAGGGACAATTAAACAAGCAAGAGTAAAGTCACGGATAAAGATGGTTTCGCATCATCATAATAAACAAGCGGCACGATGGTTAGTCACCGTGAACTGCTCCATGTCTCTCTGTTTATTTCTTACGGCGCTCATTAACACACCACGGAAAGAGAACTCCACTCTCGCCGTGTAATGTATATTTACGCTATGTCAAGTACGGTCCCAGTGTATCGAGCCTGTTCCTCGATGTGGTTCTCTTCCAGACCTCCTGGTTGAAACCTCTCCAAGCAAAAGATTTCAAATATTTCTTTTCAACCAGTGTTCCTTGCTTCCGCGCCATTTATTTTAAGAAGCTTGATAAATTTACATGTTGAAACATGCGCGCACCGTGTACGTATGCTTTATACAGGCAAACATAATAGTATTTCTTTGTTTAAACACGCGACACGATTTTCGCGTCACGTACGAGAGGATCGTAAATCGCTTCGGTGATATTGCGCAAGGCTTGGTAGCCGACAAGTAAATGAAAGTGAACTCTGTTATATACCTGTTGCGACGTATAAGATATAATCTTTGATGACTTTCAGTCAGCTACTCATTAGAAGAAGCCGCCAAGTATCAATGCCGTTACGCTCAAGATACTTTAACGTTAACAAAATTATATTGCACGATCCTCGATAAGTCTTATCGAGCACGGACTACGGACTTGTAAATAAAAAAAAAAGTCATAATCAATTAACGACCGAGTAACATTATCTGAATCGCATAAAATCAACAAGCAGAAATTACAAAATATACAGGAAGTTGTACATGTGTACACAGATGGTACATAATATTACGTTATCAGTCAATATTCGTAACTCACTATTAATCATGACTTTTAATATAAAAAATCAGAAAAGGCAAATGTATCAAATTCCCTTACACGGCTCCCTGTTTTATCGGACTCTTTCGGTATTATTTCAAGTTTTGTGACTTCAGCACTTTCATCGCAATGGTTTCAACCATAACATCGAGAACGTATAATTTTATTTGAATTTCATTATCATAATTTCACCGAGGGTGAAATTCAATCGCGTGTATTCATTCAATTCTATCTTCTACTAACTTTTACGGTTGTTGGCTCAGTTCAAGATCTACCTCTAATAACGAAAATTGATCGATATGAATATTCTTTTTGTTCGCAGACCCTCCACACGTTCACGAGGTGAGGTGTTACTGCAATCAACCGGAATGCGTGCCTCAAGGATACATGTGTCGTGGCAGAGGCTGTTTCACCGAATTACCATCGAATGCAAATCCTTCGTTATTAAGAGCGGAGCACAGTACTTACAGCGGTTGTCTTGACGAGAGTTTCAAAGAGCGGCAATGTCCCATGGGATACCTGTGTTGCGAGCAGGATCTCTGCAACCACGTAGATAGCCCAGCCATGAGAAACAGGCTCAACAAGACTCTCCAAGGTTAAATGAATGTTCTTTGCAAGTTCATTAAAATTGCACAGTCTCGATGTATAGAGTGTCTTTTTTCATGTTTCCGTAAAATGCTATTTTCGTCTTGTTTGTCATGTCACGAATATGTTCATTTTGCATTAACGTTGCGAGGGAGCAATTTCATTCTGTTATCTAAATCTATTCTATAACGTAAACCTCGAGTTCAACTTGACATTCTATTTGTATATTGCAGCACAATTATCCACTTCTGTAAAGTCTTGGTACATCGATTTAAAATAAATGGTTCAAACCGAAGGTTGTGCGAATTTGTGAATAATAAAATTATCTGGATAATTTTTTTAAACCTTTTAAATACAACGTTTAATTCCTGTTTGCAGAGTTGTTGGTGAACCAAAGACCTTTCGTTGACCCGGTGCAACCGATCAATCCCGGTGGTCAATCAACAGACGGATGGTTCAGAACTGCCACGATTGCTGTTCCAATTTGCGGCCTAATCGTTCTGCTGATATTAGCCAGCCTGGCAATTAGATTACTACAGCCCGTACCGACGCAAAACGATAAGCTCGGACCACATTGTATACCCGATAATGGACCGCCGTTATTAGGACCACCGAAAGTGCCTCTCGTTTAATTATTTCGCAACCCCAAAGACGTTCGATAAAGTGTTCTAGCGGATAGACATTAGTAAAGACTGTCTAGAAAGCTAGCGGGCTTGTATAGCTCCACTTGGCTGTGAATTTTGTGAAAAAAAAGCGACTGCTATAAATTATAACATTGCGTGTTGTGCACCGATTGCTGCAATTCCTCCGTACGACGACGCATGGTCGTTACGAGTGAGAAAGAGCTAACAAAGCAAGACCTTTGTACATGACGTTAATTAAAAGAAGAAGAAATTGCAAAAAAAATCAAACGCATTGTATCGACCTTATTGTAGCATTGTAAATAATTTATCTATTTTCTATCGCATATTAAATGATAATCGCTTGTTTAGGCGGCATATAAATATAATAGTATATAAATGCGTTCCATGATGTTCAAAAGCACAGAGATCCAGCTACAAGATCACGATAAAATTACAATACAATGTCACAGGGATGCAAATCTTATACTGCAATAATAATAATGACCTTTTCCATCGAGTAATAATATTGAAAACTGAACGAAGAGCACTAAAAGTCTGATAAGTGTTTTTTAATCGTATAGGATACCACCTCCCGAGAAATCTGTCACTCCGACGCATTGTATACTCGTCACGTAGTAATCGTATTCCATTTAAATATTATTATATTGTGATAGTATGGTATAATTGTACGATAACTATTATATTATTAAATGTACGTAGCACGATTATTGTTTCACGACACGTGTTACTCATGAGGGATGAATCGAAAGTGAACTTACAATATATTGACATAATTTTTTCAGTAATCGGTCTCTATTTATTTTTTCCTTTCATCAGTTACATACACATGCCATATCGATACCCGATATTACAGGAAGGGTATGTCATTATTTTGTAAAATAGGTAATTTATTTGATCGGCTCAGAAAATTTGTCTTGCTCCGTTTCGAAATAGTAACCATAAAATGTTATGATTAATATAAATGTTTTGACATCACAGTTTAAAATCGTAAAATTCACGTTTCCCACTCTCATACTTCCTTTAGCAATTTTCATTTGGCTCATACCTCTTTACTCATCCACGGTCCTTCCACACTCTTCTCTCGGGGAAAAGTATAATAGCTTATAAAAATACTGCTTAAGGTATGTATCACCCTCTTTTGTATCTACAATTTGTTCTTCCCAATGGATTGGGCTTCCAGTCAAGTTAAATTGAATATTCGAGCAGGATTTGTGTGTTTCCTATGTACATGTAACATAAGAGATACTAAGTTTTGCTCTTCATGCTTGTAATCAATCGACCACCGCAGCCTGCATGGCGGGCTTCAGACGTACCAGGTAAAAACTCGTGGTTTTAAGATAGTATTTCGCCAAATGATTTAACGTAAGCTTCGTGGAGTTTGTTGATAAAATCCGGGTCACTTCTTAACAGATAATTAAAAGCCTGAAGAAGCTGATTTCTTGTCAGTGGTTCTATGGGTCTGTTTAAGGGTTCAGGTGGACTGGGAGCAGCGAACATAACGGGGGGAATTAATGCCGGTGCTGATCCTCTTCCCGATAAAGTTCCCGTAATAATATCTTCTGATGCCTAATCAAATTTAAAAAAAGTCTCACAAATCTTTCACTTTCGAACCTAAATAGATGCACAACCTAACACGAATTGACAAACTCACCGATGCGGAAGCGTGAGCGAACAACGATGCAAGTGGATTCGAGTTACTAGAACCAATAATATCTGAGACCGGTTGACTCGTTGAATTAGAAGACGGCGCGCTCGATGGTGACTGTATCCTAAGGAATCCCGTTGTACCATTAGTGTCTGCAGTACTCTGATTTATAGATGATGAAACTTCTTGTGTCGTAGGTGCAGGAGTAGATATTATTGAGTCTTGCTGAGGAGTCGTTTTATTCCGCCTTTTAGATCTGTTTGTAGCTGAATTACTAGCAGCGTTGTTAACAGTCATTATAGCAGTCGGAGTCGTTTGAGATTGCTGTTGAGTAGCTGGTTGCGGAGTTATAGATCTATGCTGTTTCTCGATATTTTCTACTGTATGAGCTGCTGGGTGTGACATTAATCTGGCAAGCAAAGGTTTACCTTCAGTTGCAACTGGAGTGGGCTGATCGCCAGCCTTAAAATGCCCAGTGTTAACCTAAAAATATTGTAAAAACTAACATATTTCTCATCTCTGACCTCGAAATAATAAATATAATTCATTGCATACGAAACTAACTTTTGCCTTTGCAAAAAAGTCCATTACACTCTGCGAAGTAACATCTGGACCTAAAGGCGCAGCCAAAGGTCCAGATATATTATCGGTTCCAGGAATATCCAGAGGAGACTTAGAAATCGGTCCCTCTCTGGTACTTCCACCGACACTGTTACTGCTACTTCTGTTAATATTAAAATCCTCTTGAGCTTTGCTAAGCATACTAAATATATCAATGTTGCTTGCGTTAGGGCCAGAGTTTCTTTTAACATTAACAGCAGGTTTGCTACAAGCTTTGCGATTTTCTTCAGATTCTTTGACAAGTTTATTCAATGTTGCACCAATGCGTATACAGTCTTCCTTATCATAAAACCAAATGCCATAAATGTTGCATCTAGAATTTCTATACAGTAAGAAAGGCTCTTGGAGCTGTAAGTCCAAGCCCTGAGTTACTGGCTCCACTAAGTTATTTGTATTTAATCTGCAAAGTAGTCAAACCAAACAATAAGACTTCACTCATTACGATTAACCATAATTTAAAAACATTTTTTGATGCATGAGCTTATTTTGCATAGAATCAAACATTTCTTACAATTCCATACAACATGATAGTTGTTATAGTATATGTATATTCGTTCGTTAGATCAGAACATGATACAAGTTCAATTGATCGTTTTACTAAGTGAATACCCGAGAAATATAAGTGAATACTTTTAATGTAAAACATATGTACAGATAAATATATATACCTATTCATGATAAGAACACTGTTATAGGGTTCGCCATTTCGCGAGTATACGAATAAAGCACCTGCGATGTCCGTTTTCTCCCACTCGTTATTAACCGCGTTGAAAGTATAAAGTGCTACATGCGTCGCAGTCTCTAAAATATCCTTCACGTAGGGGTCTACCCGTTTCAGAGCGGCCACGTTCATTCGTAACCCTGTTAGATCCGTCATGTTTCTCTCGCAGATGGTTTAGTTCGCAAAATTAAAGAACAGAGATTCTCTTTCCGGCACAATTGAAATTTAGCTTATCGTTAGCTCTTCGAATCAATCACAAACGCCACTGTATTTTGATATAGTACAAGCAGCTGCACGTATAATAAACGTCATACGTTGTTACAGCTACGAGTTAGTAACATCACAGAATGCCGACGCTTCCATTCCTTTTACCCCAACGTTCAGTTCTGATTCGTACGAAACTGCACGACGCCAAGTGATCGAACGAGTAAAAATAAATGGTTGGTTCATGGAAGGAGGATCATACAACGGTTCGTCCAATCAAGTCGATAGGAATTTTGAAAACACAAGCCAATAACATGGCTATAACGTAATTATGATGTTATTCATATATATCTTTAAATGCATAATATAAATACAATTTACAGACCCCTGAGAAAGTTATTTTTAAATTTCCACCTTTACGGTAAGTTCTGTTAGCCTATAATGAAGACGGATTTGAAAAAGGATAGTGAAATTGTTTTTCAATTTCCGCTAAACAACAATTTATATTCTTTGAATTAATATCATCTCAATTTATCGAACAATCGATAAATTTCTAATGTATTTTAGTAACATTATTCATCGTTTAACGTGTCGCAAAAGAACATGGACCTCGGACAAAAAGTATACAATATTACGCCATCTTCGTACAAAGAGGAGAGTAGAAGAGAGTCGACCAGGTCCATAGAGCCAACCATGTGGTTCAATTTAGTTGTTGATCTTACCAAAAAATCTGATATAATGCTTTCATATTAATTTAATACATGATATCCCTATTTTCATCTTATGAAACGATAAAGAGCAACATTTCTACTAATTGCTAATCGTTTTAATTTGGACGTACAATATAGACTAGTGTAAGCGAATATGCAGTACCGGCATTTTTTCATGCAGTTGCAATTACTATTCACATTTTTGAGAGCTTAAATAAACATACATTACTTAAAAATCGAGAAATTCGTAAAACTCTTCGATCAAGAAATTTCTCGGCATCGAATTTCATCTAATTGCATCTTATGTAATATTCGTCATTTGATTATTTCGTTTCTCGGATTTTTTTTTATACAATGAGCTTGATGAATGTCTGAGCCGCGTGTAGTGCACATAAAATAGAATTTTGAGAACATCATGCGCGTCAACGTAGCGCATGGAAAAATTGGGTCGATGCGCGGAAGATGGCGACCACTGCGTGATATGTGTGAAAAAGATTATTGTAGATGCATAGATTTTGCCCGCAACTTTTTTACCAAAACATGACGAAATATAGAAAAGTGTGTTTGCACGTGTATGCCGCTGCTATACACGGACGATTCCCAATGTCAATGAATACTCAGATTCCATGCTTTCTGTGCGCGTAAAAGACGTTTGTTTACGATAAAGTTTGTACAACATAACTCGGGTGTGAAGTGGAGTAAGGGAAAAAAGGACCCTAATACAGACGAGAACTGAAGATAAAGAGTTACTGGACTTCGGCCCGGTGAATAGATCAGTAGAGATGCTGAAGCAATTGCAGATGGGGATGAGAGCTTTCCTCTTGATGGCCTCCCGTGTGTGGACATGCGTCTTCTTTCTCCTCAAGAAGCAGATTAGAGCCGTACGTAGGTGCTTCGCGCCTCTATTAGCTTTTTTCTCACTTCAGAATTCTTGTGACATAACAACATTCCGATCCTCCGTCGGTTTTCCTATTAAATATATTTACTACCTCACGTTCCTCTATTTACAAAACGTTTTCGCCGGCTCGAGTGATTGTTTTTCACGATCGTGTTGTGAAGATACAGCATACTCAACGATAGACCACTGTTACAAAATATTCCATCCAGTTGTTATCTTGTTGTTTTACATGTGATACTTCTTTGTTTTCTTATGTTTTGTACATGACTAATATTCAATATCTTTAAACAAGAAATTGTATTTGTAAAATCTTCTGTAAGATATAATCCTTCGACAATAGAGTAAATAAAAATCCTTGTACATGGTAAAGCAAGATGATTTAGCTGTAGGCTTATATTCCTTTCTTTTACAACTCGTTGATTAATAGAGACATGTGTTGCTAGTACAACGGAATTATTATTTAATAAGTACACCACTTGATATGATATAATCATTTGATAAGTAATTTGTGTCTTATAATTGATTCAATTTTTTCTAGATATCACAGATGCAACCTGTTAAATATGAGATCTTCCCATTATCTCCATTGTCAAAGCATAGACTTAGTAAGTATCGCAGACACTTTAACAATTTTATGTTATCAGAATCCATTATTGTATATGTATCATTGATATATATTGCAGGTATAGTTAAGAGAAAAGTATTAGTGTTGGATTTAGATGAAACATTAATTCATTCTCATCATGATGGAGTAGCAAGGCCAACAGTTCGGTTTGACACACCTCCTGATTTTATTCTTAAGGTGAAGATAGACAGGCATCCAGTTAGATTTTTCGTTCACAAGAGACCACATGTAGATTTCTTTTTAGATATCGTTAGTCAGTGGTAAGTTTAATTATTGGAACTCCTTTTATGGAAACTGCATTGAATACTTGGATTCAATGTACAAATGCTATTGTTATTCTTTAGGTACGAGCTAGTGGTCTTCACTGCTTCCATGGAAATTTATGGAGCAGCTGTCGCAGAGAAGTTAGATAACAACAGAGGTATTCTAAGAAGAAGATACTACAGGCAACATTGTACGCCAGAAATGGGTTCCTACACTAAAGATCTGTCTGCAATTTGTTCAGATCTAGCATCAGTCTTTATACTTGATAATAGTCCTGGAGCCTACAGAGCTTATCCTCGTGAGTATATATTTGGTTTTTTATTGAAATAGTATGAATCTCTCACAATCCTCCAAATATCTTTCTGGTTTTTAATACTTTTCCAAGTATTAAAGATAATGTATATTACAAACTTATTTTGAACTGCCTGCATGATACAGCAATGATTGTATGAAAATTCTTGTAAATTCAGTATTTAATAAAAGATGAAATGGAAATCAGTACAGAATGCATGAATTTATCATACATATTCATAGTACTACATTAATAAGTTTAATACTGTTGTATCATGTATTGCATGTACATATAATATATGATAAGTCAGAATTTTTTTACTTTGGATCTTTAAGAGACAACATTTTGCACTTTTGTTTTTCTTTTCTGTTATCTCAGATAATGCGATACCAATAAAATCATGGTTTAGCGACGCGGGAGATACTGCTCTGTTAAATTTACTTCCAGTTTTGGACGCGCTTCGTTTTACACAAGACGTAAGGTCCGTTCTTTCAAGGAATTTACATTTACATCATACGTGGTAGCATAGCTTAAATTAATTGATAAATTAGGTTTATTAGGAATCGAGCTGCAAAATCATTTAGTGTGTTTAATTTAGGATTAATATTGTTACTGGTAATAGACATTAGGATGTTGTCTAAATGATCAGACGACGATTCCTTCAATTATTTGTTCTCATTTTTTACACTCGTTGAAAAAAAAACAAAAAAAAAACAAAACCGTAGCGAGTAAGTTTAAAAAAGGGGAATGGGACCTTGAACCAAACTATAGACATCAGCACAAACATACCCTGGACTATTTTCATTATATTCATGTGTGCGCAATAATATATACATATATAAACACACGTATGTAATGTTTTCTTAAAAATATGTATTTGCCAAAGATTGTGATTTTGAGAGGTAACATAGATTTATATATTCCATTCTAGATCATTTTGTTCTAAGAAATATTCTTACAAAACGATTTAAGTATTTTGCCACACATGATAAAAACAAGTGTTATATGCTTTAAAGCAGTTGTTTGTGTTATATATGTACACACGGACACACACGAACACGTACACACACACATACACGAATAAATGATTAAACATAATGTGTAGTGTAAAGAAAAGGAAAAGATACACTAAGTCACGTTTTAAATAGACAGTGCTGTACCTCACTGTATCAGTGAGGCAGCTATCCTGAATATATCTAATAATAAAGAAAAGTATTAAAGAACTATGAAGGGAGGTGATTTCAACAGATTTAAAAAGATTAGATTTATTTAAATGTACGATGCTATGACTTAAAACGGAAAGATAAGACGAATAAAGCAACAGTGAATGGATACAATTGTGCGTATAGGTGTATATTTTGTTCACTTGTTTAATTATTCAGAAGTACTAGTGAAGATTATGTGACCTGTAAATATTATGGTGAGGAACGAATAGTTGCAGAATGAATGCTTTGAGAGAATGTGCAGTGCAGTCAAGTGATAAAACAATTTGTTTAATCACTTGATCATATTGTACTATTA